GGCTTGCGTCAGCAACCGCTTTTGTGACTTGCGATTTTATTTTTTCCTGATCCTTGGTGTATTTCATGGACAGCGCCTCCGACAAGTGATCCGTAGCTATGGCTTCTGTGACATCGACAAGCTTTCTTTTTCTTGTAAAATCCGAGCATTCTTCAATGGATTTCGTTGGTCTTCCTCTGGCTCGTCCAGTTGATGTAGAGGGTACATCGTCCATTGATGTATCCAAGTACGTAGTCGTTGATAGCCAGATTTCATATTTTAAATCAAATTTCTGCTTGCTATATCCTACGCTTATCCATTTCTGTTTGATTTTAGAATAAATTAATTTAAGCTTATTTCTCAACATTTTTTGCTGATCTGCACTTTCCAGAGCATCATACAGCTCTTCCAGAACAGCTTCTTCAAATTCCTTCTCATCATTGGAATTCCTAAATAGATCAAATAATGTTGCATTTTGCACAGCCATGTTAAAGAAAAATCACTTTTAAGGTATTTAAACGTAAATTATATTGAAAATTACTATTCACTGCTAGTTAGACACAACTGATTGCTTTTTAAGTCAAAATTCGACTATTACGCTGCACCAAAAATATTGGCAATATATACCATTTCTAAACGCATACCTAAGATAATAAACTAAAACCTCTTTTTGCCTGTTCAAATGCTTTAAAGCAAAGAAATTACAATTCATGAAAGGGTCAAAAATATTGCAAGACCTTCACCTGATATTGTAAATTACACTACCTGTAATAAATGTTATGCATAATTTTGGTTGCACAATATTAAATGTGGATCAAATAGGACCGCTTAGGTATATTTTTGTATCCATAATGCTAAATACAATGTTCCTAATAGCCGTTACTGCGAATCTACCTGCAATGCATTCTTCTTCTTATACCCGCGGCAGCGCCTTTTTCGCTGATTTTTTTCCGAAGTTGCGGCACTCTTTTTGCTCTGGTGCACACCGGCGGATCCGGGCGGATGAAAGTTTTATTGCGTTAGGTAAAAGAATATTTAGGGAACATATTTTGAAAATATGGGCGAGGTACTTTTGGGTACTTTTTTTTTATTTTCCATCAAAGTTGAAAAACACCCTAAAAATAGGTAGTTTAAAAAATAACGTTTTCTAGATAACTACAAATACGAAAGACATAGTTTTTATTAAATAATGCATAAAATTAATTCATATAGCAATACAAATCAAAATATCAATGATTCGTTTCATAACTTAGCTAATATTATACCTGAAATATGAAGTATTTGCATCAAATTGAATTAATTGTTGCGAGCTTAAAAAAGGGTCGACTTTGAGTGCACATATGTCCTAAACTATAATTCCGATTTTTTTGAGAGTAAGATTTTCGTAATCTTTGGAAAAAAAACTATTAGACACGTTTATTCATTACTCCCAAAGCGTTCATGAAAATTTTGATTTTCGCAAGCTGTTTCGGCCTAAGGCCCCACTGTGCGACGTACTTAAGATACAGCTAAGAGGCAGCTAAAAGCAACTGCTACGAGTACAACAAAAATACATACGACCGAAAAATATTCACAGCTTGAGGTTATAACTTATTTTGTTTTCGTCGTCATTTTGGTACCCTGGGAGAAGGGCATTTTAACATAGTCTAATCTTGTCACTTCACAACAGAGTCGGTCACAGTAGTATTATTTACAAAATATTTCTAGAAACTCAAGTCACAACTAAACGTTGATTGAATATGTTAAGCAAATTTGAATATTGGCCACTTCTAGTATTATGTTTGAATTGCATAAAATCAGCAGCATAAACAAAATGTATGCTAGAATAAAAACTGTTTGTGCAATTGAATCACTCTTTTGTATGGCTTATCGGTCTAAAATTGCCACTCACAATCTTTCAGTTTGCCGATTCTCACATTACTATTTACTTGTTTCTCTAACTAAGCGATCTAGCATTTTCGAGCCATGTCCGCACATACTTAGTTTCTAGATGAAAAGTGACACTTCATTTTTTAATATTTTCTAATATTTTTGCGATACTTTTAAACAACGACGCCATCTTGATTATTCATCAGCGACGACATGAATGTACCTATACATTTATAAATATATATAAATGCATTTCATTTATCTGTGAACAGACACGAGCCACAGCGAAAAAAACAAATGACTGAGAAATTCTCCATCTACATTTGTTAAAATAAATACATTTACATATGTATATACGTGCCGACCAGTTGCTGATTTTTTGTTATGGAGAAGCAACGGCGCCTGACTTCAAAATGTAAAATAAGAAAGAAAACCGGTAGAAAGCAGTTATTAGGGTCACAATTGTACTAGTGATGGAAAATTAAAACCCTTCCAAAGGTACAACACTTTGTTCCAATTCCAAAATAATCAGGCTTTTTATTAATTGTTTATGACCGATGAAAGGTAAATTACACTTACTAGTTAGAATCGGAAAAGAATTGAATAAAATAATTTGTAAAAGGCATGGAAGTCTCCCAATAATAACTTTAAAAAATTTATTAAATCATCACGTTATGTAAAGTTTTTGTTTTTTAATAACAGCGCATTTCCAAACGTAATGACACTATCGCCATTATCTGGACAATTCGTTCAACAATAAAGATACACATGTCGTTCCCTCTCGCTGGCTCTGATAAGCGAAAAATACACAATTGAACTAATATCGTCAACATGGCTGAAAACCTATCGGCAACATCGTAATCAACAACCAACCATCGTTTCTTTCTATTGTTTTAGGTAAACGAATGTGGCACTATCTAAGCCCTTGTTTGACGGCTATTCTTACAGGTATTATTTATGCCACATACAGCCATAGAATACGTGTTTTATGTGTTCAGAAGGAAACATTGGCCATTAAACCTAATGCTTACATACATATTCGCTGATTATAAATCAAATATTTTCTATGCACCTTTCTTATGGCAGGTCATGATTTTTAATTAAGCGCAAGGTTATTGCAAAGTTTCTAGCTTTGAAAATTCAAATACAGAGTTGTAGGTTTGTTTTCGCTCTTTAATCAGATCCCACAAACAAATGACTACAAACACTGGTACTACAAATACATAGATTCTTGTTTGTAACATTTTTATAACTGTTTTTTATTTTTGGGGCTAGTTATATTTACTGCAGTTTTTTAAATAAGTTTTGTTACTCTTCATATGATGAAGATTGATCTGTTATAGGTATATTAAGTGGCTTCCACCCTTTTTCAGATAATTGAAATGGTTCGCATATGTTAATTTATTTTATTATTGTGTATGTGTAATTATGTGTATTACCAATCGTCAATTTCAAACCAACCGCGTGCAGTTAATTGCTATTTGCGTTCCCATCAGTCAATGGAATTGACGAAAGCACACTCAAATTTATATGTAATTATCGACTGCCAAAGATGTTTTTCAGCGAGTTTACCCAAAATAAGGCAGTCCCAATTTCATGCCAGTGATTTTTGCTTAATTTAATCCTCAAAATATTGTAAATATTGTATATTTATAAATGATCAAAAAGGCAAAAAATTCAATCTGATTCAAGCGTAATTTAAATAATTAACGGCAGGCTATAATTAAAAGCAAGTAGCCGCTGTGAAAGGAAAAAGCGGCGTCAAATACGAGATTTATAAATAGCTGGGTTAAACGCTAACGATTACGGCTAAGTTTATGTGTATTGGTTTGTTTTAATCTCTTTGTAACTCAAAAAAGCAATAACAGGCAGTGCAAGGTTTATTAGTGATTAACTGGGGCAATACCGTTTATTTTAGGGTCAAGTTCAATAGTTCAATTGTTCGTCAGGTACTATGTTAAGTTATCAGTCAGCAATATTGGTGCACTGTTGTTTATGTTCTTAAGTTGTATTTTAGAAGCATTCCTTCTCATTTTATAGCAGATTTTCGAGATACAGGCTTGGCATCACCACTTAGTACCTTCCCACCCCGGCGAAAGATTTTCGAACATAGTTATAATAATTATTATCATGTGCGCACGCTTGTTTGTTCGAATATGCGTGCATAGAGACGAAACATTCAATGTCAACAACTAAATATGTATTGTGTACATACATATGTATGTATGTACACTGAACACGAAAAACTCATAAGTTGAACCAAAACATTCAACTTGCTACCAAGAGCATTGAGTTTTGGTTTTACAAACAATTATTATTAGGAATAGATAACTTTTATCAACCATTTTAGTGAAAGCTTTTGTGTGTAACAAACATTTATAATTAATTATATAGATATAATTATTTCCAATAGGATTAAAATCAAAATAATATAAGCATGCGCTGCAAAGTTTCGGCTGGCAACGCCATAAAGAGAGAAACGGAGAGAACGTTGTAGAAGCAACAAGGTGAATTACTCACAACAAAATAAAATTATTGCATATTTGGGCAAAGCTAAACATTTGACATACATACATACATATGTATATATATGCATACATTTGTAAAGATTGACATATACATACAAAAATGTCTGTTTTGCTTACAGCCCAGTACCTACGCTTTTTGCTAACAATAACAATTTTAACGGTCAGTGCTGTTTTCCTTTTAGTTGACGTATTGTTTATTTGCCTGCTGCCGTTAAAAAGCATACAAACTCAAAACTGATGCAAAAGTCAATTAGCAATAAAGAAGGCCTGCTAAAAACCATTTTATTTAAATGCCAGACGATGTTTTGTTGACTTATTTATTTGAACCAAAACGTGCTAAACGAAATAGGCGAGAGAGCGCACAGCTGACGTCGCTCGTTCTCTCCCTCTGTGACGCACTCACACTTGGTTATTGCGCGAGCGAATGGCAATGCAAAATGAAAAATTCAAAAGCACACACACTAGCACATACTTTGCTGGAGTGACAATAAATAAGAAATCAAACAACACAATTTCGCAAGACAGAAACAGATTCGTTGTTTTCTAGCTTTGCTACACAATAAAACTCGCACGATGACGACATATGCCTAAGGGACTTTAAGAAAATTATTAACATTAACTTACTTATTCGTATTTTTATGAATTCCCGCTTAGCCGCGACAGTAACACGAATATAAAAAACACTAACACACGCACAGATAACACACGAAGAAGAGAAGGCCAATACTCTGGTTCACAAGACTTTCACAAGCTGGTAATTTATATATTTTCATTCACTTTTCACTCTTTTCTCTCCCTCTCTCTCCCACTCTCTCTCTCTCTTTTTATTTGAGACTATTAATTCGGAGTGCACTTTCACCGCGTTTTCAATGCATCAAAGAAAATTTTCACGTGTTTTTGTTTTACTTCGTAGATTGTTTTCTATACTGAGCTTTTACAAACTATTTTCTTTTCGTAATTATTTACGTTTGTGACCTGCTGTTGTAGCTTCTACTACTGCTGTGAGCCATTGGGCAATGTACACACATGCATACATACAAATGTTTGAGCAAACGGCAAATACGCACACTCATGCACGCACACACAAAGAGCAACCACTCCAGTACGTTTCTTCAGCACTGCGTTTTTGTTTGTTACTGCCCGCTATATTATTCGAGCATTCATTCACATCTTTCCATTTCAGACATCGTTACAGCAGTCTGAACTGAACAGCACGCACAGTTTTTTATTTTTTAGCGCTTTGCACTTCAACACTCGGAACAAAAATAAACAATGCAAAAATATGTTGCCCCTCCACATACGAATTATCTGTCTGCCGTCGAAATCCACCCGTTCTCCCAATAGCACTGAGGCTGGCTAACTAACTGAGGTTTATGGCAGCTGTTGCGAGAGCGACCAGTGTTGCCATGTGCAGCAATTGGCGTTGCCAGCTACTTTTAAATTGGGTAGACTATATAAGGTGCACAAACACTTGCTTGGCATTGGCCTTGGCCGTTGCATACTTTTGGGCAGGCCTTGAAACAACTACTTACTTGACCACTTAGTCAACAGAATAAAGTGTATATATATATTTATTTATTTTTAAATACAAGACTAGTTGAGGAGATAAACACTAAAGTATCAGAGTGAACGGACAGAAAATAAAATAAGAGTACTTCTGTTTTAGATTTAAATAACGAAACAACAGTTTTCTTATTAGAGCGTAGTCAACAACTCAAACAGTCTTTTCATTTGGGCATTTAAATTCTTCAGCAACTAAATTCTTTTCTTTTCACTTAAATATACCTTTTATCTGTCATCGAACTTTATTTATGTGACTTATCGGTAAAATAAAATTAAAACAGAAGCGAAATATAAATAAACGGGCAGCGAATTTTGCTGAATCTGGAGATTAATGTGAGGAGCACATAAGACAAGCTTCTTAACAGACAAAGCATACCTGTCAACGATGGAGGAGATACCGACAACACAAATAATCCCCAGCAGTTTTTTTAATGATGGACAAAACAGCACGTACTCCTTTCCGCGATATGCGCTTAGAGTTCGTTTTCGTTCTCATTGCTATCCGGAGCTGTTGCCCATTGGCCATTTGTGTGTTTGTCGCAAGGTGGCCAGAACATGGCATTCTTCCCCCACCACCTGCGGCCAGGAAGCTGATTGCAGTCAGCAAAAGGCAGATGGCAGATACTACTTGTATATCAAAAGGCTTAGACATTGACGCACTGCGGTAGCTTATTTTAAGCTGTTTACCCCGTACCTGTAGGGTAAAAAGGGCATATTAGGTTTGTCCAAAGTATGGTACAGGCAGAAGGCGTATGTATATTTTTAATCAGCACGACCAAACCAATCCGTCCGTCTGTCTAGATTACGGAGAGGGCTGACGGCCACATTGACCAAACTAATTTTTGGATTTTCCCTTCTCCTCAGGCTACAGATATTCGTCAATACTGTACACATAAAAAATACACACTTCTCTACTATTGTTTGTTGTTTATCCAAATCGGTTGACAAACAATTTCATTCCAGTACTATGCTCACATTTCCTTTTTTTCTTCGATTGGTGCATATACCTCAGCGCCGGAAGTTTGTTTTGGTACAGGGTATGTCACTGTCGGGCTTGCTTGACTGTAGCATTCTGTCTTGGTTCTGTTCGTTTACATTCATCCTTCCTGGTCTACCGAACACTTTGCGTTGGGATTGCAATTTAAACATGTCTGCTGGATGCGGAACTGCAGTAAACCTCATCGCTCTCTACAGTCTCAAGAGCAGAAATAAAATTAGATGTTGTCTCGCTAAACATCGCAATCAATTGAGCTGGTAGGGAATGGGAATGCATATTATACATAGAGATATTGAATCCTGCAGTAGATTGCTCAGATATGTGTGAAATTATATGTAAAAAGCTGCACATTTATTTGTTTCTAGCTGCAAGATAATTATATCCACTTTTTATTTATTCCCAGTCGCACATAATAAAGCAATAATAAATCCATAGACGATGAATTCCCTTGAGCTTTTTAAGTTAAGAATATTACAATATTGTATAATAGCAACTAAACTGATAACAACAGAAATCGATTTGCCAGCTTCTCCTGAAATAAAAAATAATGATGAGACCGGAAGAATTTTCAACGCCCTCAACGCTCAAACAGGCTGCCCCCCATCAAATGCTCAAAGCATGCTCACATCATGAACAATTCCCTTGCGACTTTGATGGAATTGAACAGGCTAGCATCAGAACAACAATAGAAAAAGTTTATGGAGACAAAAACAAAAGACGGAAAACAGACGCCAATGCAGCACTACGGAATTTAAGGACATAAATTCATATAAATTGCGTTAATTTAACCGCAAGCACAGTTTTAAAATCTCAAATAATGAGCAGTCAGGCAGTTTCCTCTCGTCCAACGATACTGCTGCTTTACGCGTTATAAAGGAGGAGGCAACTTAGGGACAAATAAGTGGCAGCCGCCACCCCTACTAAAAGTTGAACCGGCGGTCTCTTTGCGTTAACCGAGATTTTAAATTCAAAATTACGCTTTGAAATGTTTGCTACAATTTGTTTTTCTTTATAATGAGTCCTTCTGTTCACCAGCAACCAGACACCGACTTCGGCCTAAGTGTATGAGTATATATAGTATATGCGCCTGTACTTTAGTTTGTGTTTAGTAGACACTTAAAATATGTGTGAATTTTGCAGACTTTGGTGGTGTTTTAAAGGGTCGTCTAGTCGCAGCGGTATTTAATCCGCCGATGCTTTCCTTTTGCTCCAATAATACGATGAAGTAGCTAGCAAGCTATGTATATTAATTATTTATAATTAGTAGGCGTGATTATTGCAAATAATTGGGTCGACAGTCTGCTTTCATACATCATGTAATGCGATTTTTCACTTTATAATTATTAAGTACTTGCACAAAGTGTTTGAATGATGCTTGTAGGTAGTTAATATAAAATAACATAAAATATGAAACTCATAGTTTTACTTAAGAGCACACAGAAAATGCTTAGTATGTTCATTTTTAGAACTTCCAAAGTATTGCATAATTGCTATTATATTTCGAAATAAATGTATTTAATTACGATTTGTGCATTATTAATTACATCCATTTTCCAGCTCAAAGCCCACAGCTTAATTATTTGCGTCGCACAAAGAAAACATTTCAGATATCTCACTCTCGCATGTAACCGTATAAATGTCTTCATTAAGCTTAAGGACTTTATTTGCGCAATGACGATAAAAAGGAACACGTTCATTTTAAAATGGTGGGTCCCTTTCTGGTCTTGTTTGAAACTTTTCGTGTCGAAACAACGCTTCAATGCATTTCAACGGCGATTGTTGAGCTAGCAGTTTCTGTTCAGCTTAGACTTTTCACTTTCTGCTCACCAAACAAGCAGGCAAGGCATAGCGTCAGGAAAAGGGACAGAAGTCAAAAAAAAATCAATCGAGGGCAAGCGCTGGTCTTTCAGATGTTTCAAGGCGTTTATTTAACTTGCGTTTCTCTCTCGCATCCGCGACGCTTTACGAGCAAGTACCGAAGGAAACGGGTTTACCAGGCTTACGAAAAGGTAGTCATATGTTGTTGTCAATTTTATTTTAGGAACAACACACAACTTTGGTTTGAAATGGCTTCAATGGGCTTGACGCTTCATTTCATTAACTTGTGAGTACTGGAAGCTAAATTCTAGTTTCCCAGAACAAGGTTTTTCGTACTGATATTTTTTATTTGCATTAGGGTCAGTATTTGTTTCCCTTTTTAGGCACGCCAATCTCTTATTCCCTAAAGGAGATCCGAAAAGCAACCACTGAAATATTCATTGCATACTTTGCAGAGCTATAAATGGCGACGGCCTTAATTGTTGGCCATGACAAAAGTTGCCCTGATATTTCTATGTGGGTAAATACGAAAGTCTCCACTGAAATTGAAATTTGCATAAGGAAACATTTTTTTAATGATTGTTAAGCTGAGTTCGAAACATGCACCCAATCCGTTTTACAAGTATTGCACATGCCAAATCATGTATAGTGTGTATGTATGGTTGTGCTTGCAGATTGATCAACAAACATTGCGGTTACCAAGCAGAAAGTGCAGTTGGGCACTTGGAAAGGAATTCTGATGACACACAGCACTTGAAATCAATCGAATGAATTATGCGAAATACTATAGTCTTGTAAATATTAAGTCTATACAATTGCATTTCAAGTGCACTTAAAACGTAGACACACATAGTCGAGAGAGAAATGAGTAAGAAATGAAATATGCGGACAATATAACTTACAAAGCAAAATAGGGATACCTTATATCTTATCTGGCAGCCGTACAATGACAAAGTGCAACACGGACTGAATGCAAAGGCGTACAGTTGAATGCCGATAATAATCCAACCCCAAAACCCAACAAAAAGCCCAAAGACCTACCTGCCCTCCATCAACTCTGGTCACCACCCACTTCCACTGAAATCTATAATGGTGTTTATGCGTGAGACTCCCGAGGGAATTATGTGTATATATAATGCATTGTACGTGTGTGTGTGTTATTAGAACATGGCAGCATTTACTATGACTTTCTTTAAAGTCATACTAATTCAGATACTAATGCCATTATACAAGTAGGTAAATCAGACTGTCTTTCATTGACTTCCATTGCAATTTCAACCAATTATGTCTGTATGCCAGCTATTCTTCACACACTCGGCTGTATAAACCTAATTCCCTTGCAAATTTTCTTTAAAAATTTGTAACGAAAATTTGTGTATACATATGTAAGCATTGTTCATAATACCTAACGACAACATATACACGCACGTATATGGGTTTATAATTAATTTAATCTTTGCATTGTCAAACATTACACGCCCTTGATAGAACAATTTGTTTCGTTGTTTAATTTTATGTAAACGGGTATTCGTTTGCTGAAAACTCCCATAGGTACCCTGTATTTAATGGAACTTTAAAATGTGCAACAACAAGAAGGGAGAATGTGTAATACAATACATATATGTAGTATGGGCACATAAACAAACAAAGCGAAGAGGTTAATCTATATAGTAAGTATAATTTGATCAAACATGACAAAGGTAGCAAAAAAATTAATACATGTACATTGATAAACCAGTTACATTTGGGAAGATATCCCTATCCATAGCGTGCAATTAACTACTTGTATATATAGTATAGTCTCGGCACAGCCAAAAACAGCTTCTGCGCTGGATTACTTTTTATTTTCGTGGAATAAGATTAATGACAAGCAATTTTTCATTGACTATGATTCAGCGGATGGTTGAAGGGAGAAGCAGGCTGTTTAGGCCCGCCCGAGGGCAATGGGAAATGGCAAATTCCGTTA